GATGTACGCGGGATGCTATGGTTATTCATTTTTATATCTAAATTAGGTATTGTGTTAGTCAATATTTTTGGACCGAATAGAATGTAGTTGCATTTAGAAAAATTTACAATTAGTTTATTATTGATGAACCAATTTGAAACATCATCTAAACTTTTATTAATTATCTCTACATCGTTTGATGGATTGCTAGTTGGGAAGAAAATGTTAGTATCATCTGCATACAGAAGATGATGAGCGTCAGTAGCCAGATGAAAATCTTTCATAAAAATTATAAATAGAAGTGGGCCTAAGATTGATCCTTGCGGGACTCCTGAAGTTATATTTAATTTATTTGAAGATTTATTTTTTATCGACACATACTGATTTCTGTTTTGCAGATAGCTTATGAACCATTTATGTGCTATTCCTCTTATTCCATAGGAGTATAATTTCTTTATTAATATCTCATGATTAATAACATCAAATGCCTTGGACAGGTCTATGAAAACACCTATGGTTACGATTTTTTTATTCAGATTATTTAATATGTTTTGTACTAAATGTAGTACTGCTAGTTCAGTTGAATGTTGTGCTTTATATCCATATTGATTTTTATTTAATAAATTATTAATATTCAAGAATGAAGTTATTCTGATAAATATAATTTTTTCCAGTACTTTAGAAATAGGTGAGAGAAAGGATATTGGCCTGTAATTGCTCATTTCCATCTTGGATCCTTTTTTATGAATAGGTATTATCTTGGATGTTTTGAAGCATTTTGGGAATATTCCTTGACTGATGGACAAATTGAATATATGTGTTATTGGATGTACAATTTCTGAGATGATTTGTTTTAAGAGATAATTACTTAATGAGTCATCAGAGGTGCTTTTTTTATTGCTAAGATTCTTGACGACTGTTAATACCTCAAGTTCATCAGTGGAGTTAATGTATATGGATTTACAAATGTAGTTGTTTATTTTTGAAGATTCATTAACTGTTTGATTTTCAAGCAAATTTTCAGTAATTTTAATAAAATATTCATTGAAACAGTTACACATTTCTTCTGCATTATCGATTATATTATTGTTGACTTTTATTTTATTGATATCATTCAACTGTTGATTTTTATTCATTATACCATTTATTATCTCCCACTTTTTCTTTGAACAGCTTTTTGCATCATTAAATCTTTGACTAAAGTAATTTTTTTCTTCCTTTCGTTTAAATGATGTAAAATAATTTCTGAATCGCTTATATTTATTTATATTCTCTGTAGTAGGTGTTGAAATTGTTTTTTTATAGAGTTTATTCTGTTTCTTTGATAATTTAATTATTTCATCACTTACCCATGGCTTTTTATTTTTCCGTTTCAGCGGTTGCAATGGGGCGTAAATATCAAGAATTCTATTTAATTGATTATAACAATTCATGCAACAGGTGTCAATGTTACTCTCATCCGTTATTGAATCCCATTTTTCAGAAGATAGAGCTTCCTTGATTAGGGAAATGTTTCTCTTATTTATGTTCCTTTTCAAAGTCAGAGCATCGGTAGTGACAAATCCTGTATTTTCTACAACTGTATAAATTGGATAAGGATCTGAAAAGTCTGATATTATTATTCCATTAAAACATTGTTGATTTAAGTTAAAAAATATATTACCTATTAGTGAAATTGAGTTATTAGTTATTCTAGTTGGTAAATCAATCAAAAGTAAGAAGTAATGCGACAAAAGTAAACTTTGAAAATCTTTGGAGGTTTTATCCATTAGATTAATGTTAAAATCTCCGACAATGAAAATTTTATCAAGTGGATTTAGACTATTTAGTATCGATTCAATTTTTTCTAAAAAAGACTCATATTTATAACTAGGTGGTCGATAGATGGCAATTATCTTGATCATGTTATGTAGTGAGGCTTGATGCAATTCAAATTCCACGCAAAGTGTGTCAGCGTTGTCATCATCGAATATGTTGCTTTCATTTACAACATATTTTACATCATCTTTTATAAACATTCCAACACCGCCACCACGTCTATTTCTTCTATTTTTGTATACGAAATTGTAATTATTTAATTTAATTAAATCAGCCGTTTCATCGTTTAACCAACTCTCAGATATTACAATAATTTTGAAGATAAAATCAAATTGTTTCAACAAGATCTCTGGATTCAATAATTTGTGAAACAGACTACGAGCATTTAAATGTAATATTGAGATAAAATCACAGCCGATATGCTTTTGTAATTCTAAGATATTTTTAGAAAATTCCTCAACAGTGTAATAATTTGAGTCGTTGTTACTGAGGTGTTTATCTGATATATTATTATTGCTTTGTGTGTTATTTATCATGTTTTTGTTTATTTATTAAAGTTACTTCATTTTTACCATCAATGCTAATTTCATTTTTATTCTTTTTGTCAATATTATTATTTGGTTTGAAGACCCACTCACGAATGATTGTGTCCTCATCCCAGAGAGCAGAATCTGTGAAAGTGCTATCTGAATTATTGATGTCAATACATATTCTGAAGCCTTTTCCCAGATGAGACTTTGCCTCAAAACAACTGATTACTTTAAATTTATTTGTTTTCAAGTATTCTGTCAAAGTTTCATTATTGACTGTGACAGCAAGATTACTTACAAAGTAAACTTTTTTTTAACAATTGCCCCAGCTGATTTGGGACACATGCCAGTGCTGTTGGTTCCTCTAATGTTTTTAATTTGACGTTTCTTTTTCGAAACAATTGAAAAAGGATTTTCTTGTTGAATTGCTGATGGAGACTGATGTTGCTGATGAGTAAGAGGTCCTATGTATGTATGTATGTATGTATGTATGTATGTATGTATGTATGTATGTATGTATGTATGTATGTATGTATGTATGTATGTGTGTGTGTGTTTGTGTGTGTGTGTGTATGTGTGTGTGTGTATGTATGTATGTATGTATGTATGTATGTATGTATGAACCCATAATTGATTAGAACTATAGGGAAGTAATAATCATATCCGGTTTCAGCTTTAATCTATGTTAAACGCTTCGCACAGACAGGTATTTTAACGCTCCATCCAAAATACAGAAAGAATTATATTTTTGAAATAAAATAGAAAAGGATTGCTTTATATAACTCTTATCTAATGGGTCACCCGATACTTCTACAATCTTGCTACAGAATTCATTCAGAAAACTCTGAGTCTGAGCATCGGTTAGACCAAAGGTCTCAATGCAGACTGGCTGAAAAATTTTGCTTTCTGCAAGAGCCGCATATTTTGAATTTTTAAAGTCTGCGGCTCTTAAGGCAGCGGCACCCGCCTCCTGTGAGGTAAGATTAATGTACTTTTCAGCCATGGTGTGAGGGAACGTAACATCCCAAGCAAGGAAACGTCCCTGCGCCCATGGTGAAATAGTATACCCATCGGGCCTGAGGCTACTTTCCTCCATAAGACCCGTGGGTTTTTTAATTGTGGGTATGTTTGCCCTCTGAAAGCACCTGACCAAGAAGTCGTTCATGGCCGAGTGTCAAGCCTGTCTACCAGGGCCCAATCGACACGAAAGACCATGGTAGCCCAGGGGTTCAACATTGGCCCCACATAAACAAACATACTCAGTTAAAATGAGTAAACCGAGTCTCAGTCCCAAACTGACACGAACACAAGAGTCGTCCAGCCTGGTACCACAGGCGGAATTTGGGACCACCTTCACCAAGATGATCCCAACTCACTTTTTACAGCCATTATCCTGGCTTTATCAAAATTTGATTGGTTCAAATCCAGCAGCTTAGCAACTGAGCTGCTGATAAATGAAACGGGTTTCGATACAAATCCCCGCTCCGTGGACAGTCCGGAACCCTTCAAAAACTTGGGTTCTGAAATTGTCGGAATATATTTAATCTCTGGGCAACAATAAATTTTGGAGAGGAACCGTGGCAGCAGCAGAAGCCAAGAAGGCAGAAGGTGCTAAATCCACCACGGTACCTAAACCTAAGCCACCAACCGAGATGGGCAGGGTTGCCTGTAACCAACCTTTCGGGTCAAGGGAAACGTTGAAAATCGATTGGAAGCCGTCATGGAGAGTTTGATCAAAACATTGAAGCATCAAATTATCGAGGCTGGACGACTTTCTTAAAAAAAAAAGTCAAACGAGGCAAGTACATCGCGTGCAACAGCAAGGTCAAGGCATCATGCTTCGAAACTACCTTCAGTCTAGACATAATAAATTTAAATTTTTACAATTTTTCACCCCAGAAAATATTACGTTTATTGCAAGGAAATAGGAAAGAGCCTAGAAAGTCGATGTCAATTTTAGGAAACTGTTTAATTTTGAAAGAATTTTCTATTAAGTTTGGATGATT